AACTCCGATATTTCAATAATTGAGGACGCTTTTTAATTTACTCCAAGCTAATGCTTATAACATTCTCCTAACAATAAATAAGACTGTTATATTACTGTTAGTATTATAAAAATGTAGTTGTATTACATTTTCTTACCTATACTGTGATACATATTTGAATTATGTAACTCCCTAAATTAAAGTTAAATTTGATTTTTTAAACCGTTGGCAACCCTGGGAAGTTGCTTAGAGATAAAGCCTTTTCAAATCCATTTCCATTTTACCCATATTGCAGCAATTCATTTGACTAATTGAATAAAATTTTTTTAACAGGTGGCAGCGCTGTTAATTTTTTAACCTAGATATAAACCTTCTGCTCGCCGAGACGAACACGCAAATATGCGTGATCCTACTACCGGACCACGGCAACATGGAGTCTATCGATGTCAAACGTTAAGAAACTTTATTTTCTTTGTTTTGATGGAATAATTGGCAGATAACGAAAATAACTCTCTTCTTCTTCTTTATTGGAGCTGTAAACGCCTAAGCGATTTTGGCCGATTCCAAAACAGCAGACAGGTAATTTTTCTTCTGTGCTAACTGACGCCAATTGGAAATGCCAAGTGAAGCCAAGTCCTTCTCCACCTGGCCTTTCCAACGCAGAGGAGGCCTTCCTTTCTGAAAGCTCATACAGCTCATCATTAAATCGTCTGCAATATTCGCCATCACCAATGCGTAAAGGTCCGTAGATCTTTCGCAGAATCTTTCTCTCGAAAACTCCAACAGCCGCTTCATCAGATGTTTTCATTGTCCATGCCTCCGCGCCATACACCAGCACAGGCATGTTGGGTGACTTATACAGTATGATCTTTGTACGACGAGAGAGGACTTTACTTCTCAATTGCCTATTCAGCCCAAAGTAGCCAGAGTGATTCTCCGTTGGATTTCAAGGCTGACATTATTATTGGTGTTAATGCTAGCTCCCAAATAAACGATCGTCTACTTTTTCAAACTTGTAACTGTCAACAGTGATATGGGTGCCAAGACGCGTATGCTCTGACTGTTGTGTGAGGACAGGAGATATTTCGTTTTTTCCTCGTTCACCACCAATCCCGAGAAGGCAGAACAGACGAAGCCCTTGTTTTTACCGATAATATGGATGTCGTCGGCATACGCCAGCAATTGTACGCTCTTGTTAAGTATTGTGCCTGAGCGGTTCAGTTCTGCGGCTCTTATTACCTTTTCCAACATCAAATTAAAGAAATCACACGAGAGGGAGTCGTCTTGTCTGAAACCTCGTTTGGTATCAAACGGCTCGGAGAGGTCCTTCCCTATTCTGACGGAGCTGGTGGTATTGCTCAACGTCATTTTACACAGCCGTATTAGTTTCGCGGGGANTGGTATCAAACGGCTCGGAGAGGTCCTTCCCTATTCTGACGGAGCTGGTGGTATTGTTCAACGTCATTTTACACAGCCGTATTATTTTCGCGGGGACCCGAAATTCAGACATCGCGGCATAAAGACAACTTCTTTTCGTGCTGTCGAAAGCGGCTTTGAAATCGACAAATAGATGGTGCGCTTCAGTCTTTTGCACAATACACTCGATAAGACCTTATAACCTATGCTTAGAAGGCCGATTCCGCGGTAGTTGGCGCGAATGGCGGGATCGCCTTTCTTGTGGATTGGGCAGAGCACACTTAAATGCCAGTCGTCGGGCATGCGTTTATCTGACCATATTTTGCATAAGAGTTGATGCATGCACCTTATCAACCAGGGACCAAAAATAACTGTTATCTCGAATTTACAAATTGAAAACGTCGCCTGAATTCTAAAATTTTATGAGAACGTTGTTTCATAACAGTTAATAGATGAGAAATATTTTTTCCGTTGCTGATAAGAGTTATCTCCCAACGTTTATTTTTTACGTTGGTCGATAACGGTTAGTGCCCAACGTTTATTTTTTTCGTTGCGTGATAACAGTTATTGCCCGACGTTTATTTTTACGTTATCTGATAATAGTTATTTCACTCTCTCACTTTTATTTCATCATCTTTATCTTATTCTCCATCTTCATCAATATCCTAATCTTACAACGTTTATCAGACAACGTAAAAAATAAACGTTGTAAAATAACTCTTATCCAGCAACGTAAAAAATAAACGTTGAGGAATAACTCTTTTCGGCAACGGAAAAAATATTTCTCCTGCATAACAGTTATCAGGCAACGTAAAAAATAAGCGTTGGGTTACAACTCTTATCGGCGAAATAAAAAATATTTCTCATCTAATAACTGTTATGGATCAAAGTTTTTGCTATAAAACTTATAACTGTTATGTCCCTGTTATCAACTCCTCGCCACCGTACTTTAATAGCTCAGATGGCAGGCTGTCAGCTCTCGCAGCTTTGTTGTTTTTCAAGCGCGGACCGAAAATAACTGGCCCACATTAAACACATTGTAACTTTTCCTATCATTAACCATTTATTTTTTACTTTTTGTGATATATCACTCTGAAAGCGGTTTATGAGAGGGAGCTTATGGTTAATGATTGTAAGAAATGGAATCGCTAACGAAAATAAAGGCCAACCGCAATTACTTATGATTTTTTTTTTGTTGAAAAGGTGCGTTAGTAAATTTAATTATGCTGTAGAGAAAATATATGATGAAAATGGAACGAAGTAAAACAAACTATTAAGAATAGTAGGTAGAACTATTTTTATTCACTCAAATAATCACCGTTATAAACTTTTTCTTTACAAACTTTGCACACCCAAACTTTTTTTTATCACTACTCGTGTCCAAGTCAAACAAGCTGCGGAATTCAACGCTTAATTGGGCGAATCAACCTGTTTACACANAAACAAACTATTAAGAATAGTAGGTAGAGGTTTATGCGAGGGAGCTTATGGTTAATGATTGTAAGAAATGGAATCGATAACGAAAATAAAGGCCAACCGCAATTACTTATGATTTTTTTTTTTGTTGAAAAGGTGCGTTAGTAAATTTAATTATGCTGTAGAGAAAATATATGATGAAAATGGAACGAAGTAAAACAAACTATTAAGAATAGTAGGTAGAACTATTTTTATTCACTCAAATAATCACCGTTATAAACTTTTTCTTTACAAACTTTGCACACCCAAACTTTTTTTATCACTACTCGTGTCCAAGTCAAACAAGCTGCGTAATTCAACGCTTAATTGGGCGAATCAACCTGTTTACACAACACATTTCTTGTTTATTGTTTAATGTGTTGTTTATTGTGCCTTTCAACGGTGGAGAAAAAATTTGTAGTGGTTAATTAGCTAAATCAATAGTTTTAACGAATCTATCTATTTTTTTAATGTTTGTCCCGGTGGGGATGTGTGTGGTCTATGTGTTTTGATAGCCGTTATCGATAAAAATTAGATAGGACAACGATTTTTGTTGATTCGTGATTGGATCTGAATCACCTACGAATGAAGTGATTCGCTCTCAAAATTTTGTATTACGTGATTCGGGTCGTAATTGGGGCGCCAATCACGAATGAGAGAGCGAATTACGAATGGGAGAGTGAATCACTCGTCGTGGAAACATCGTTTTACATATCTAGTTTATCTCATAACCAATATACATACATAAGTATGTACACATATACATCTGCTTTTGCTTAAGGTTATTTTTTCTTTTTTCTATCTAGATCCCTGCCTCCACCCTGTTCGTTCTACTTATGTTATTTATGTTATTCTGTTTTTCTTTATCTTTATCATCGACTAACTCTCAACTTATTCGGACGTGTGTTCATACAAGTGTTCTTAGCTCGCAAAATAACAACACTAATAACCCGCTTTCATATTTTCGCTTTTGTGCACTTTCGCATCAGGTGATCTTTACACAACAACAACTCCATAAACAACNTACGTGATTCGGGTCGTAATTGGGGCGCCAATCACGAATGAGAGAGCGAATTACGAATGGGAGAGTGAATCACTCGTCGTGGAAACATCGTTTTACATATCTAGTTTATCTCATAACCAATATACATACATAAGTATGTACACATATACATCTGCTTTTGCTTAAGGTTATTTTTTCTTTTTTCTATCTAGATCCCTGCCTCCACCCTGTTCGTTCTACTTACATTTATGTTATTCTGTTTTTCTTTATCTTTATCATCGACTAACTCTCAACTTATTCGGACGTGTGTTCATACAAGTGTTCTTAGCTCGCAAAATAACAACACTAATAACCCGCTTTCATATTTTCGCTTTTGTGCACTTTCGCATCAGGTGATCTTTACACAACAACAACTCCATAAACAACTAACCGCTAAATCATACCAACAAACACAATGACTACACTTTTCCCATACTTGCACACAAACAAACACCCCTCAACCAACTCGAATACATAAAAATTACAGCAGCCAACAATGAGCTACAAAAGCTCATCCCATTTGTAATAAAAAAAGCAGTAGATGCAATTTCAAGCCAAATTGAAAACATAAAGCAACTCAAAGACGGATCACTACTCATACTAACACGAAACTCAAGAATAGCAGAGTAAAATGCCAAGACAATTTAAACACGGTAAAAGGAGTAATCTATGCGCCTTGCCTAAACTTTGTAGACGCGGAAGAAATTATGCAGGAACTAAAAATCCAAGGTGTAACGAGCATATACAAATTTACTCGCATGACTGAGGCAAAGTTGTTCCCACTGGCAAAATTGGCCTATCTAAACACGCTGCACCAATCCTGCCACATGCGGAGGCTGCAATCTTCCACTTCATTCTCCAGCTGACTGCACACGTAAGTAATGCGCAAACTGTGCAACGATCACACGGTCTCAGATTAAAGGCTCCGTTATGCATACTTGGCATTGCTTGAGAGTTGTCACATAAGGAATCTGTTAAATGAGCTTCGCGTGTAAGCGGTTACCCAACGCACAGCATTACATACGTAAAAGTCTGTTGGTTTTTGATTTCTACGTAAAAATGGTATAGCAGTGCATGCAATGCCAAGTATGCATAACAGAGCCTTAAGTCTGTCCAAGATTTAGGCAAACTCAGGAAATCCTAAAATTTAAAACTGTCGCGAAATACTCCATGAGAGAAGCACGACGCAAATACTATGAAAATAACACTGTAAATGCAAACTCCAAAAGCACTTATGCAAACGCCGCCATAACAGGTAAATCAACATCCATCAACAAGACACCATCATCACCAAACCCAACCAGCACGTCCATGGCTACACGTACAGCTATATCTCCGCCAACAAGAACTAATCTACCAATACTACCATAACTACGGAAAACCATTCCAAAGCAATAGCTTAAGCAATACTAGTAACAAAACAACAACAAACGTCACGTGACGCTTCACACTTAGGGTTGTAAAAGAAAATTGAAACAAGTTGCGTTAATTCAAAAAACTATAAAAACAACTAGAATTTCTCCAAATCATGAAAATAGCCATCCACAATTCGCAGGGTTTTGCGATTTTGTAAGAAAAGAAAAAATCAACTTTGTAGCAAACAAGTCTTTGTTGTAAAGGGGTTATTTACCTTTAAAGGTAATTTAACGTGGGTTCACAATTTCACAGATTTTCTACAAAATAAAGTAGTAGTGCTAGCGGTCAGTAGTAGCAGAGCAAGCGCCAATTGCAATGTAGAGACCAGCCATCGCTGTTCATCTAACATGGCAACCATCTTGCTTAAATAGATGCTAATCAAGAATGATTGAATACAAGATTGCGCCAATCGAGCTGAGAGCAACTGGCCGTGACGTCAAAAAATACCAGAATGAGAGTGCAAGACGAACTCGACAAGAAAAAGAGGAAGCATCGAACAAAAGGCAGTATTGCCAAGTTTTGAATTTGAAAAAGCACCAAATTTTTATTGGTATATTTTATGGACTTTATATACAAACATAATTTTATTGTAAGGATTCCGATTCAAATTAATAAAAATCAATGTTTCTTGCACGACGGTCGATTTCTTCTGGCATGATTGAAGGTGCTGCCACATATTTTGTTGTCGCTTATGTCACTGTGCTATGATTTTGTTAAACTTTTTGTAAAGTTGCTTACCATACTTGAGATTTAAATTTTGCTTCCACTTTTTTAAGATTTTCTAATTTGGTGTCTTCAAACTAAAAACAAAAGCACCAAAAACGCACCAAGCACCAAACTCAAAAATTTTCGCGTTTTGAATACCCACTAAATTTGGCGCTAAAAGCATCAAGTTGGCAACAGTCAATGTAAACAAAAGTATTTTATGACGTCAGCGATTGGGTGGATGCTGTCAAATCGACGAAGAGAGGGTTAGCGGTCCGCGAATGGCGCGACCTTTATTTTCTGGATCGTGGATGCTAATGTGGTGAACATTGAGAACGGCGAGCTATCGCATTTTCTTACAACGTTTAGCAATTTTGGCAATATGCAAGACAAGGACAAACATACGTTACAATAACGAACTGTCAAAATATGAAAGCATTGCCAGACTAAACTTACGTAAAAGCATTGCCAGACTAAACTTACATAAAAGCATTGCCAGACTTACATAAAGCTTTATACAATAACAAGATGTTTACACACATTCATTAATAGAAAAATAGAAAATAATGCAATCATATAATAAATCTGCTACAATTTCCCCCTTTGACGTGTAAATCTCGTCCCGAGTGCAAGTCAACATCTACTGGTTTCGGGCGTTCCTGGGACGACCCCGCTTCCTCAAAGGCTGAACAGGAGTTGGCGCTCTGTCCTCGTTAGTACCCTTGTACAGTGTTAGAGCTGATGCATGGTAAGTGCCAAGTGGGATATTAAGGTTTTCGCGCGACGCAATCTCGTATGAGGATGAACCAATTTTACGTACGATGACATAGGGCCCATCTCTCTTCGGCACGAATTTCGCTGTGACGCCTTTTGCTGCTTGACTAAGTATGTGAGTTGTCACCAGTACCTCTATACCGATGTCGAACGCAGCTTGAGGACGTCTCTGTTTGTCGACAAAGTCTTTATTTCTGTCTTGGGAGTGCTGTTCAACCTCCCTTGTTGTTTTCAAATTGTTTGCGATGCTCTGAAGGTAAGGTGAGATTTGTGGAANTACCGATGTCGAACGCAGCTTGAGGACGTCTCTGTTTGTCGACAAAGTCTTTATTTCTGTCTTGGGAGTGCTGTTCAACCTCCCTTGTTGTTTTCAAATTGTTTGCGATGCTCTGAAGGTAAGGTGAGATTTGTGGAACAGAGTTTTCGCAGACTTCTGCAGTTGCTTCATGTAGTGGAAAGATTTCGGTCCAACGCGAGGCCACATCTTCGGCTATCAGTATCCACTGGAAACCCTCTTCAGTTTGTGGTAGAGGCCCAAAAAGGTCTACTGCTTGCACTTCAAACCGCTTCTTGCTGCTCGTTGTTTGTAGCAAACCCATGGGTTTCAGGTTAGCTGCCTTGTACCGCTGACATTCGGTAGCGTCGTCGTGGTACTTCTGGAGAATCGCCTTGCGTTCGTGAGATGGTACAACAAGCTGTGCGTCTTCAGGGTCAGCGTTATAGCAATAAAGTATCCCGTCGTTTAGGATATAACCTCTATTGGTCCAAAACATGAGGTTTTCGTCTTGAGATTCCAATGCAGTTATGATGGTTCTTATATACTCATCCTTCATTCGTTCGACCCTTATTTCTCCCATACTACGCCTAGGCACCTCCACATGGAAAGCGCAAATGCAAGCTGGTGATTTGGCATGGTCTTCTGCCAGACACGGTGGACGTGATAACATGTCAGCCAGGCAATTACTTTTTCCAGGCGTATACTTGACTTTGAAATTGTATTGCTGGATTTGCAGCGCCCAACGAGCGAGGCGTCCTGTTGGGGACTTCATAGAAAGTAACCATTTCAATGGTTGATGATCGGTCATTAGCGTTATTTCAGCTCCCTCAATATACCCTCGGAATTTGGAACAAGCCCATATTATGGCCAAGGCCTCCCGCTCGGTCGTCGAATAGTTTTGCTCTGGTGCTGTTAACAATCGCCTCGTATATTCAATTGGGTGCTCATCGTTTCCCTCCCCCTGGAGCAAGGCTGCACCTATAGCATACGCGCTAGCATCCGTCTTCACCACAAATGGCATATTGTCTTGAGCCTGCTTAAGAATCGGAGCTGATGTCAACATGCTTTTTAAAAGATTCAATGAAGCTCTCTGCTTTTCGGGCCAGCTCCATACTGTGTTCTTCTTCGTTAGATCAGTGAGTGGTTTGGAGATGTTTGCATATTGTTTAATAAATCGGCTATACCATGAGCAGGTTTGAATAAATGATATTAGTTCCTTTATATTTGTAGGTTCTTTACGCTGACTAATCGCATTGGTTTTTCCCGGATCCACAAAAATACCCTCTGAGGTGAGAATATGGCCAAGGTATTTAACTCGCTCACAGCAAAACCTACTTTTCGAATTGTTGATCCTCAGCTTGAATTTAAGTAGTTTTCCTAACATGATATTGAGATCAGCAAGGTGTTGCATAAAAGAAGGTGTACAGACAATAAGGTCGTCTAAATATGCCAAAATTTTAAAGTTTGCAACAGCTGCCTTAAAGCGATCGATAAGCCGTTGAAAAGTTGCCGGTGCATTCCGCAACCCAAACGCCATTCTGTTAAATAAAAATGTACCAAACGGTGTGATAAGACACGTTTTATCGTGATCCTGTTCACGAATCTTGATTTGGTAATATCCACTTTGCAGGTCCAACGTAGTCATGAATTTTGTACTCTTAGCTGCGTGTAATAGATCATCGATTCGAGGCAAGGGATACCTGTCAGGCACAGTGACAGCATTAAGTTTCCGGTAATCAACACATACACGGATTCCTCCATCTTTCTTAGGAACCATGACTACTGGAGATGCCCATGCGGACTCACACTCCTCGATTATGCCGTTTTCGATCATTTTTCCTATATCCACTTTCAGCTCATTCATTTTCGCAAAGGAAAGTCGATAAGGCGGACTGAAAATGGGTTCGTGGTCACCAGTATCAATTTTATGCTCAGCATACGGAGTTGGTTCATCGATATTCCCAAATGCTTCTACATGACTTTGAAGAACACTATCGAGCTGCATTTTTTTTCAAGATTTAAAGCGTTGCCATCGTTGGGCTTTATGACCTTAAAATCAATCGAGTATAGTCTCGTGAAATCGCTGTCATCCTGGTTTGCGGCATTATAGATTAAGCCTTTGAAGAGAACAGGTTGTGAAATTCGCTCAGGAGTAAGAGCATCTGCTGGAAGGGCATCTTTAAATATAGCCTGGATGGAATGCGGTGAGTACTGGTTGTTTGGAATGTCTGGACCATAAGACTCGAATTCGGACATGTAAACCTTCGTTCGGTCACTTTATCGCTCTGGATGTTCAACTGGCAGTCTCGTTGGCAGCGTTTTTGGCACCTTCACCGTTTCTAGAAAATTCAGCTTAAGCGGTAAAGCAGTAGCAAAGTCAAAATGTTGCGTTGGGTCACTTTCAAAATGCCAATACCTTTGACCCATGTTGAGGACTATGCCAGCTTGTTCCAAAAAATCGGTACCAATCAAAGTGCAGTTGCTTTTTGCATTGGGCAACACAATAAACCCTATGTTCAGACAACGGCCACCAATTGTAATTTTGCACACCGTAGACAAACAGTCTTGGATGGATGTGCTCCCATCAGCTAAAGCGATTTCTCTTCTGACTTCTCGGTACTTGCACCCTTTATAATCCATTACCGCTTTAAGATTTGCACTTGCTACACTTGTACGTGCTCCGGAGTCGAAGAAAGCTTGACCGGGGATGTTGAAAATCTGAATTTCGACCACGGGCATGTCTCTTCCGATACCATAAGTAGTCATTGAGTTGAAATTAACAAAACCATCGGAAGGCTTATTTACGTTTCGACATGTGGGGCAATTTGCACGCGTAACGCCAGGCGTGTTACATCCGTAGCAGGTGAATTTAGGCTTAGCGACCACTGCTCGTGCAATTGCCGCGGATTGAGCTTCTGCAGCATCGGCTTTCTGTTTCTTAAAACAGGTTTCTACAGTGTGGCCTTTCTTTCGACAGAAATAACACCGTGACGCATTTCCGACACTCACACTCTGTATCGAACTTTCAACATTGGTACCCTTACGCTCGCTTAAAAAATGTTCAGCTTCCCGAGCCTCATTGA